CCCCCCCCCAAAAAAAAAAAGATAGAGAAGGTGTGCTTTCACAAAAAGATAAATGAGTAGGGCTGGGAGATTTTGCCACTTATTTATTTTCAGTGCTCTGTAAAATTTGCCACCTTGAGGCAAAGCCGCACTTGACCTGGCCTAGCTACAGCATACCAAGGATCACTGACTGCTATGCCTTTTTATTGTAATTGTTTTTGTTGACGCTTTTAAAAGGACATTTGTGATTATATCTCACCATATAAGAGAAAATAGGCTGAATATCATTCTTATCTCGGGATTTTGTTTATTACATCTGTGCTGTTCTTCCTTATGGAATAGCTCCTTCTCATGCTTCTTCATCATACCTAATTTCTATTTATCACTGTTCTTCCTCTCAGCTTCCTTCTTTCCTGTTCTCTCTGGAACTGCTCTTCTGTCACTGTCAAATCAGTTGTTCATAATCTGTTCTTTTATTTACACCAAATGGCTCTTACTAATTACATTTGCAGATCATTTATTGTCCATCTTACCCTATTTTTAAACTTTCATATCTGTTTTTGAATCATGCTGACTGTTTTTATTAACAACACTCTTGCTTTGGTTTTTAGAAGATTTTAATATTCATGTGGATTACTCCTCTAGTTCTGCTGCTTCTTCGTTTTCATTTTCTTTTTGCTTCTTTTGATACAAAATTTTGGATCAATTTCCCCAATTACACCAGTGGTCACTCCCTTTACTTCATTTTCTCTCATAATTGTTCTATTTCTGATTCTTATTTCAGATCATTGTGTTATTTCTATTAATGTCACTTATTCCCATATCATCTGTGCTCTGCTTCCATTCTGTTTTATTATCTTCAGTCTATTCTACACATGCATTGTCCTCTTCTCTGCCTTTTGTTATCCTGGCTCTTGATAGATTTACACCATTTTCTATAAATACTGTTCATTCTGTTTGCTCTCAGTCCTGGCTTAACCCTCTCCCTACTCTTTATTCCTGTGTTCAGACAGCTGACTGCCTCTGGTGAAAGTCTAAGGAATGAATTGATTTTATTAATTATACATTCATTATAAATTAGATATTCCTTTTTTCATCTTCTTTTTGTTTAGCTAAACAGCAGTATTATCTTTCATTAATTCACAGTGGATGAAATGCAACTGAAAAATCAAGCCAGTGTAACTCCATCAGTGTACATTTCAGCTGTGGATTACTATGAGTAGAGAAGTCATCACACACATTTCCTATTCACACCATGTTGAGTTTCTGATAAAATTCATTTTGCTACACAGTAGAAGTACAGAGACTTGCAGAGGAGAATTGCTATAAGTTCCAAAGAGCCCTCCCCTTTCTCACTGACTGTCACTGAAACTCCTGGTAATTTATTCCGAGATATTTGTAGGAGAAAGAATAAAAAACATTTCTTTACTTACAGTTTCTTCAAGTTACAGACTTCTGTATTCTGCTTTCTATACTCCACACATACTTAGCAACCAACCAAAGAGACCAACAGCAAAAAAAACAACACTACTAACAACACACTAAACAGAAGAAAAGAACATTCTTAGGAGAGAGGCGGGGCTCTCTTTGAATTCAAAGACTAGAAGGAACTATTGGTTACTGCTGGATAGACTATCAATGCAACCCAGGAAAGTCCCCCCCAGTCACACAAACTACAGGCAGCATGCGAGGTTGTTAACAGAACTCTAACATACCAGTTATGTAGCTTGGTGGAAATAGCAAATACCTACATGGATTTCATCACATCTAGAAATTTATTGCTGAAAGTTGAACAAAAGGAGTCAACACTGGATAATTATGCAGAAGGATTCAGGCTTTCATTAGCATTTTTGTTGTTGTTGTTTAGTCGTGTCCAACTCTTCGTGACCCCATGGACCAGAGCACGCCAGGCCCCTCCTGTCTTCAACTGCCTTGGGTCAAATTCATGTTAGTCACTTCGATGACACTGTCCAACCATCTCTTCCTCTGTCATCCCCTGCTCCTCTTGCCTTCACATTTTCCCAACATCAGGGACTTTTCCAGGGAGTTCTCTCTTCTCATGAGATGGCCAAAGTATTAGAGCCTCAGGTTCAGATCTGTCCTTCCAGTGAGCACTCAGGGTTGAATTCCTTCAGAATGGATCGGTTTGTTCTCCTTGCAGTCGGCGGACTCTCAAGAGTCTCCTCCAGCACCAGAATTCAAAAGCATCAGTTCTTTGGCAGCCAGCCTTCTTTATGGTCCAGCTCTCACTTTAATATATCACTACAGGAAAAACCATACCTTTGACTGTTCGGACTTTTGTTGGCAAGTTGATGTCTCTGTTTTTTAAGATGCTGTCAAGGTTTGTCATCGCTTTCCTCCCAGGAAGCAGGAGTCATTTATTTTCAGCGTTGCTGTCATCATCTGCAGTGATCATGGAGCCCAAGAAAGTAAAATCTGTCACTGCGTCCATATCTCCCCCTTCTGTTTGCCAGGAGGTGATGGAACCAGTGGCCATGATCTTGGGGGTTTTGTTTGTTTGTTTGTTTTTGATGTTGAGCTTCAGACCATTTTTTGTGCTCTCCTCTTTCACCCACATTACAAGGTTCTTTAATTCCTCCTCACTTTCTGCCATGAGAGTGGTATCATCTGTATAAGATACTTAACTCTGTCTTTTGACCTCAGATCTTTACAGTATTCTAGTGTTCAAACTCATATTTCAAATTACTGTATTTATCCAGTATTTCAGTTCAGATGCTCCATCATCATCTTGAAACTTAATCTAGCTAAGATGGAGTTGCTCATTTTTCTTCCCTGAAAACCTTTTTTACACACATTTTCTATACCTATTGATAATGTTATTATCCACCCTGTGGAGCATGTATGCTATCTTTTTGATATGTCTGTTTCTTTTATTCCTTACACTCAAGTTAAGACTTATCTTTTTTTTTCTTTTATGACAGGAACATGTCTTTTTCTTTCTGTTCTTTCTGCTAAGACTTTATGGCTTAGCTATTTCTTATTTAGACAATTATAATCTTCTGGCTGATCTTCCACAACTCATATTAATCCACATGTTTCTATTCAAAACTTTGCAGATATATGTATATTTGGCCCATCATTCATTGTGTTACTCCCCATTTAAAACCTCTGCAGTGGCTTCTTCTCAGTTCCAGGATTAAGCATAAGCTTCTTGTTCTTACTTTTAAAGCCCTTTATACACCGCCAGCTCCTTATTTTTTGGTTTCTGGTTTCTCACTCTAGGCCCAGTTGTTCCCCACATTCTTCTGTTTTAAATTCTGTTTTTGTTCCTGGCTCACTTGGTTAAGATCACCTGCACTTGAAGGCACCTTCATCCTATCTCCTTCCCTGTTCCATCTCCTTGGAAGTGTCTCCCCCATTATATGTAAGCTGCTCCTCCCCATGCTGTATGTTGAAATATATGTATGTTGCTGACATTTTTATTCTGTTTTGGTTGCATTATACTATGAGGAGGTTTTTTTTTAAAATTTCACTTGTACATTTAAAATTACTTGTTTGTTTCATTACATTATTATTCCTTCCCCTTCTCCTCCAATTTTTTGTTTCATGTTTTAGACTATTTGCCATTTGGGCAGCGTTTTCTTATTCTGTTTTAACCTATCTGTACAGAGCCATTTATGTTGATCACCCTATACAAATAAATGATAATAATAATCTGTACACATAATTGGCATTTACACAAATTGCTATTCTCTCTCTTGTTGATCACCCTATACAAATAAATGATAACAATATTGCTATTCTCTCTCTCTCTTTCTCTCTCTCTTTCTCTTTCTCTTTCTCTCTCTCTCTCTCTCTGAGATGATGATGATGATGCATGTCCCCATTCTTGGCAATGTGTCAGTGGCCACTAGACATGAGGATGATAACTAAAAATAACTAAAATCATAGATTTGTATTCATTAGAGGCATTGATTTGCGTGAATATGAATCAATGAATTAGCAATTCTTGAATGAATTCGGTGATTCGTTTTTTTTAAATTTGTGCCCATCTCTAGTGGCCACCCTATCTGGAGACCACTGTCAGATCTTCTGGAGAGAAAGGCCCTGGAAAATGTCCTAGAAAGGCTCTGGTAAGAACCAGTCAAGGCATCAGCAGCTGGGGCAGCATGAAAGAAGAAACTGCTTTTGCTCAAAGGCACTTGGAAATTGTTTGCCAGACTTTGTGTCCCTGGGACACAGATTCCCTACTCGGCTCTTGTATTAGAATTATAGTCCTGTGACATCCTTAGGTTTTTTTTTAAAAAAAGGGCACAGTGGAGACTGGAGACTCCAAAGGCATGGCTATGTGTGTGAATGAACTCAGGATTTGAGTCTGAACTTTAAAGGGGTGATCCAAACAGCTGAATCCATTTTCAAAGTAGAGTTCAGCATCTTGGAGAACTCCTGTAAAATTCATACAGATTCACCGGTCCTCTACACTTGATTTATCAGAGCCTCAGCTGAATAACGGGCATAGATTGAAACAGAAATGAGTGCAGGTTCCCACCACCACCACTGTCTCAGAAGCTTTTCTTTCCTCTTCTTTACCTTTAATCTTGCACAACCTGTGAACACACCACTCTATTGCTTTGCCTTTACTTGATTGTTTGCTTTGTTTTCCACTTTCACCAGCATTAACAAATGTGAAATCTTTCTTGCTTTCCAGAACTCTGAAGGTGAACCACATTTCTTAATCCCTCGGGTAATGCTTCATCCAGCATACAAGCAGGACATGGTGGGGTGCTCCGAAGCCAAGAAAGAACCAACAACAGACAAAAATTGAATTTTAACATGCATAGAACCCAGAAAAAGCTCTGGGTTCCTTTATTGGCCAGCTTCTCTTTTACCAGGCAGTCCTCTGCCCACCTTAAGATCACTGGAGTTTTCCAACCTTCATTAACATCTTCCAAACATGTCCCACCAGACCAACTTTTCTATCCTCCTACCATGAAATTCTAACCCCTGTCCTATTGGTGGTTTGCAGTCCAGAGGAACTTTATCTATGTATTGTGATTTAATACTGTGCCAAGACCTAGAAAATCTAAGCTGCTTTGGGGTTCATTGTGGCATACTACATACTACTACAAGTATATCCAGATTTACTGTTTCTTTGCCTGTAAGTTAGAAAACTGTATTCTTTTCTCTTCCACAGTGCACTTGCTTCCCACTGTTTTGCAGTTTTCAGCGTTCCTCTATCCGCCATGAAACTCTAGGGCACAGATACTTACTAGCCAACTTTGCTGACCTTTAAATTCATTTGTGTCTCCACATTGTTGATCTGCCACATACACACACCATTTGTAAATATTGCAAAACGGTGTGCCCTTTGAATTCAGAGTTTTGTGCTTGGCAGTCCTACAGATGGGAGGTCCTTTTGATGCCTTCAGTGTTGGCAGCTCAATGTGCAACAAGAAGGTTCAAAAGTCACAGTGCTGGCACTCTGTCCCCTGCCTTATTCCCAATAGCATGGTGGGCTCAATTGTGGGCACTCACAGCTTCCCTCCTCGTCCTCTCCCTCCTTCCTTTTTTGATGTGGCAACATTGCACAAGCACAGTGTACATTCACACTAGAGCTGTGCAGACTTGTGTTTTTGGAGAATCGTTTTCTTTAATACCCCAGGTAGCAGTGGGAAATTCAGCCCACAAATCTGCAGAGCTCTATTTCCAATCCCTCTCTGCTGTGTCAGTGAGCACTGGTGCCATTTGAAACATCATGCCTAGGCTTTGATGCATCCTTTCACACACAAAGATCAAACTTGCTCCTCCTCTAGTGCCACTTGACTTGGAGATTGGTCTCTCTCTACCTGGAAAGCTGTGAAAGTGTATCAAATGCCCTGAGACAACAAGCCAGCAATCTGAGACAGGGAAACCCAAACTTCACTGTACTCAATTTTCAGAATTGCAAACAATACTAGAATGCGGGGTTTCAAGATTTAAAAGCAAATATATCAACAATATGAAAGCACGAAATAAAATCCCTTTGAAACCATCTAAAAACACATTTTTTAAAAAAGCAAATCCCTCCTTAAGTTCCCTTCCTGAGCAGCAATTCGTGTTAAACGCTTGCCTGGAAAGAAAGGTCTTTGCCTACTGGCAGAAGGACAGCAGGGAAGGGGCAGGTCTCTGCCTGCTTGCAGAAGGACAGCAGGGAAGGGGCCAGCCTGGTCTGTCACAGAAGGGAGTTCCACAGCCACCAAAAGGGCCATCTCTTGAGTCCTTGTGACAGCAGTGGGACCAAGAGGGAGATTCCCCCCAAAGATCTTAAGAACTGAGGAGACTCCTATGGGGAGATATGGTTATTCTGATGGAGAAATTCTGAGAGTTGTAATTTTTAAAAGTTACTTTTCCAAGCCTTGGTCTGAAGTGGAACAATTCTGAATAAACTCTGCACAATGCTTGCATCTACACATTTCATTAAGGGTTTGGATTTGCCTTTAAAAATCATTTTTAGGCAGTGAAAAACAACCAGTGAAACTCATGATGCAAAAAAGTTCTCCGTAAAAATTAGGAGCAAAGAATATTCTTAAAATTTGCATTTCCCATTCTGCTAGGATAAACGTAGCCCAAACGTAGCCCGCCAAATGTTTGCTTATGCAGCACTTAGCAGAGACTACCCTGATTTCTCTTGGAAATTTTAGAGGCCAGTAGTCTCATAAATCAGTTATTTATTTCCCACTGAGGGCTGTTAAGCACTAAAAGACAGTAATGCACCAAGGACTACCCTTTATGTAGCCGAGAGACAGATTTGTCATGCTTAACAAGCCAGTTGGAGGACAGGTCAGAGGCTGTTCAGCCATGTGTACTTTAGCAAGGAGAAGGTTTGGTTTCACAACCTGGCTGATTCATTGATATATTTATACTTATTTATTTATTTCTTCTATTTGTATCCTGCTCCCATTAGTGCCGAGGCACTTCCTTTCCCACTTAGAAGACACTGTTTCATTCTCCTTCTTCGTTATGTCTCTGGTTGCTTGTGAATGAAAGGAAGGCCAAGGTGCATCACCCCAACAAAATCTGGATATGTCAAGAGCTGCACTGGGTCTGCACGAAAAGAGTGGCTTATTAAAACAGAGAGAGATGCTCATCTGGAGATGTCTATCCTGCATTCCTTGTCTCACACCTGCAGATTCAACCAATCACATACATGGTTTTTAACACTCTGGATTCCCACTCATCAGCTAGTACACACTTCTTGAGAAGCAGCGTGGTGTTACAAACAAAGCAAAGCATGCTGCTTATATACCGCCCCATAGCGCTTCAAGCACTCTCTGGGCGGTTTACAAGTTAATTATGCAGGCTACACATTGGGGCCCCCCAGCAAGCTGGGTACTCATTTTACCAACCTCGGAAGGATAGAAGGCTGAGTCAACCTTGAGCCGGCTACCTGGGATTGAACCTCAGGTCATGAGCACAATTTCGGCTGCAGTACAGCAGTTTAACCACTGCGCCAACCACTCCAGGGATCTAGAAACAGTCTTGAGTGCAGATGGCTGTTTCAATAAGCTCTGACTCAATTTTCTGTTTCCGGCAGCTAGGCTTTGTTTACATCAGAGGAGGGGAATCTGCAACCTGTGTTGCAAATGTAATCCAACTCTCCAGGCCCCCACTTACCAGGGATATTGGCAAGTTTTTGGATCCAAGTCCCAAGTCCAAGTCTTTGATACCAAGACCCAAGTCTGAGTCCCTATTAAAAACAAGCTTTAAAAAAAACTTGAATAAAGGGAGAGGGGAAGTCCAACTCATGAATTGAGTCTGAGCCATTAAAAATGTGAGTCAAGTTTGAGTCAAGTTGCCAGTGTGACAGAAGTCCAACTTGACAGTGAGATTCGCAATTCGAATCCCCATCCCTGCAATTTACTCCTTTCTAACGCCTTGTCTCTTCCAAAGAGATATGGGGTGTGGAGGACAAAGAGCAGAAAGAGATGGAAGGTCTCCAGAACTCCCCTTGCCTTCCCCATTTCCTATTGCATTGCTAGTGGTTTTCTTAATTACAAGGAGCATTATTTTTCCTATGTACAGCTACCACATTTGGCTTGTTGGGTGAGTGCTAAATTAGCACTCAGAATTTCTGCCAGAAATCCTGATGTATTGAAAGAAGAAATAAAACAGGATGATCTAATCTGTCTCGGTTCTTGAATGGCTCAGATAAAAAGAATGTCACTAAGCTGTTTAAAGAAAACTTGCCATTTCATTGTCAACATCACAACTAAAAGTTATCATGAGTGGCCTTAGAAACACATACCTTTGCCAAAGTGGACACCTGTGTGAATAATAGACTATTAAATTAGACTGTTTCAATGAAGGATTTACAATAAGTAGCAAAGGTTAGAGAGATGACAATAATCTAAAGTCGCAGCATAGTGGCTTCTCACTTCAACGGTCTAATATAGCTTTCCTTAACTTGGTGCACTTCTTGAGGAAACAGCCTGAGTTCCAGCACCATGGTTTGGTGTCACTGACAAAGTCTATAGCCGCTCCAGGTGTCCAGAGCACAGACGGTTGCTTAGATAAGCTCTGACTCAATTTTCTGCATCCTGCAGATTTTTTTTTTCATCAGAGGAGAGGCACTTCAGACAATGAACTACAACACCCATCATCCCCAGCCCACATAGACACTGGATACCATGTTGTGATGTACATATTCATACATCACTAATATGTGTAGGTCCAACTCAAAACAACAATATGTTCAGGTCCAGTGCACAGACAGCCATTCTGCAATTTTTCTGAGCATTCACATAAACAGTTTAATATACAAGCAAAGAAAGTGATTGTCTACCCAGACGTTCATGCTAATGGACCTTGATGTCACAGCCACTCTTAACTGGCTAGCTCAGATTCTCTTGCTTGGCCCATGAGACATATGAAACAACTTTAAAATGTAATCAAAAATAGTATATGCCATAAACACTGGAAATTGCCATACAAAGACATATCAGTTTTTATTGCCACAGATTTCCATAATGTATTTAGGACTTTATCAGTATAACAGATATTTGGCAATAAAATATTGTGTAACAGCAAATGTCAAACCATTTGACTTTCTTTATTTATTCCATAAGAAAATTAAGAAAACTTCCTTGAATCTCATAGAAATCACTGATACGTAAGAATGAACATGTAATGTATTCTCAAAGGCTTTCACGGCCGGGATCTGATGGTTGTTGTGGGTTTTTCGGGTTCTTTGGCCGTGTTCTGAACATTTTGCCAGTCTCTGTGGCCGGCATCTTCAGAGGACTGGAGTAGGAACTCTGTCCATGCTCTGTTGCTGTTTGTTAGATAGTTTAGTATTTATTGCTGTGGGAACAGCTTTTGTATTTTTTCAGGAGATACTGTGATCAGTGTGTTTTTTGTTGTGATAAGAGGGGAGAGATTATAGGTGATTGATGGGTGTCATTAGCTGGTCTTTTTTGTGCAATGATCCCTGGTCCTTGTGGCTAGGTAGAGTTCATTGACCTTTTACAGGCTGTATTTTTCAATCTTGGGAGCCAGGCCGTATTTAGTTTTAGGCCTTCTTCCTTTTTGTTGAAATTCTGTTGATGTTTATGGATTTTAATGGCTTCCCTGTGCAGTCTAACATAATGATTGTTCAGTACTGTATTTCAGTATTTTGACATATAATTACATGTCCAGCTTGTTTTAGGGCATGTTCAGCTACTGCTGATTTTTCCAGTTGTTTAATCTGCAGCGTCTCTCATGTTCTTTGATTCTGGTGTGAATACTGCATTTTGTGATTGCAATATATACCTGTCCACAACTGCAAGGTATCTGGTATACTCCTGCAGTAGTGAGGGGGTCCCTTTTGTCCTTTGCTGACCGTAACATTTGTTGTATTTTGTGGTGGGTCTGACTACTGTTTGTAGGTTGTGTTTTTTTTTTAAGTTTCCCCATGCGATCCGTGACCCCCTTTGATATATGGCAGAAATACTGTATTTGTGGGTGGCTGTTTTTCCTCTTCAGTTTGGTGTTGTTTTCTTGGTTTGATGGCTCTTTTGATTTCGTTCTCGGAATAGCCATTCGCCTGTAGGGCCCAATTCTGATGGTTGAGTTCAGTGCTGAGAAAGGGAGTGTTCAGCTGTTAGCCAGCTCATGATAAAGATGTAGGTTGAACAATAGCAAGGTGAGCTCTATTTCTATATCAGAATTAAGGAGTGCATGGAAAGGGGATTCTTTATCGCTTGGAGAATAGCCATCACACTGAAATTTATGAAAAACCACACATTACAAAAGCATATTCAACTGTGCGTAAAATTATATTTTTGTTAAAAAGTAACCAGAAATATACATAGCATGCATGAAACCTGTAGGCAGAATTATGTTTTCTATTCCATTCTCTTATTACCAAGCACCAACTTTCTGTGGGAAAAGAATCAGTCTTCTACAGGACTGTACTGATCAGTTGTGTTTGCTTAATTCAGCTAAAGGTTCTGGAAATGTTGTATGCGTGCCTTTTTTTGTCATGTCATTGCATTATGGGAATTGTAGTGTTAAACTTGCCATACTGTTCTTATATAAATGATTTAAATGGGAGTGATGATGGTCCGACATGAAAGTTTTACAGTGTAAAGATGAATCCGATCTGGTATAAAGAGATGAAAAAACCTGTGAGAATATTTATTGCTTTAAATGCAAAAAAAAAGTTTGAACTATCATGAGAATTCAGATATCATAAAACATCTAATGCTTATTCACATAAACTATGGTTCATAATCAGAGTTGTCGTGGGTGGTGGTTGGAGTTTTTGTGTAGGTACTGGTCTGTATGGGTGGCTCATTTCATGACAGAAAAGAGGCATAATCAAAACACTGGTAGACCATGCAAACCAGAACTTTGAAGCTCAATTTAGTTGTCTAAACAGCTTTTTAGACACGTTGGTTTCTGTTCCCTGAGATGGCAAGAATTAAGGCATTCAGTACATGTCTTTTCTCCTAGCATATGGCTTGGCTTGCTTACTTGAGTCCTCGGTTACCCGCATGCAGCCATCTTGTTTATAAGCACCTTCATCGTGTTCACCTTATTTGCATTTGCTCGTTTATTTGTGGGTAGCTGTGGTCTTGAGCTATGTGAAAAGTGAAGAAGGGGAGTATTTTGTATCTAAACCATC